CGCAGGTTCGAATCCGGGGAGAGGTGGATGAGCTCCCTCTATCAGCTCCAGCTCTACATGCGGGGACATGAGAGAAGCCTCCCAAAAGGATGATAAAAACATCTGGGCAACGTCCTTGCAGACGGCCAATTCTCTCACACCAGAAGTGACTTGCAGTTTCTCAAGTCGCTCCTAACACAACAACAAAAAATCTAAAAAAACACCCCCCCCCCCTCCCCCCTCCAACTTAAAGAAAAAAGACACAAAAGGTGAAAGAAAAATTAAACACCCTTTTATTTCTTGGTTGGCGCATTTGCACTGGCCGCAGCCTGACCCTTCCTGACCTTTGTACGTTTTTGGTGGGGTAAATCAATAAAAGGTCTCTCCTGCCATGCAACACGTTGGAGGGCCTCACATACTGAGTGACCCCCCACCCCCCCCCCCGCCCAGCAACTAGCCAAGCAGCCACTCCCCTTGCCCCCCCCCCCATTAGTTTCCTCCAGGCCTGGTGGTTTGGGTCAAGCCAAAGCAAAGTGCGGCTGAGAGCTCCCGGGAATTGTAGTTTTGACATGGCTTTTGCCTCCCCCCCCCCCCCCGCACCAGCCAGGCACACCAAACTACAACTCCCAGGAGTCCCTAGCCTTGAGCCGTGGCTGTGAAAACGGGGTCCCAACTGCATCCATGCAACAGTGTGGATTAGGCAGATGTACCCTGAGAGGGCCAGCTCTGCCTGCCCTTTGACCTTTGGGCGCACACACACAGACTCCCATCCTTCCTTCCTTCCTTCCGTCCGTCCGTCCTTCCACAGAGCAGTGGCCACTCCCTGCCTTCTGGCCAAGCTTCGGGCAAAGGGTCAAGCCAAGGCCTGGCGGTTGGGGTCCAGCCCGGGCAAGGCCTCACCAAACTAAGAAGGACGAAATCACACGAGAACGAATCCACTTTAAATCCGGGTTGTCCTTCCTGCAGAATTCTGGGCTTTGTAGTTTAGGGAGGAGCCTTTAAGAGCCTCACTCAACTACAAACCCCAGAATTCTGCAGGAGGGAGAACCCGGATTTAAAGTGGATTCGTTCTCTAGTGCGATGCCGTGGAAAGACGGGCCTAGCCACATGCATTCCGCCCTACAGCTGGACCTTCCCTAAGAGGGTGACCTTTGCCCTTTGGCCACACCAGACAGAGCAGGGTCCACTTCCTGGCCGGCCTCCCTCCCTCCCTCCCTCCCTCCCTCCCTCCCTCATCAAGGAGCCAAGCAAAGAGTTCCTGGGAGCGGGTAGCTTGACAACAACAACAGCAGCAAGAGCAAGGGTTTTATTATGGCCAGAGCATTTCCCTCCAGCCGTGGAGGCAGGGGTCAAGCCAAGGCTGGGGTGCGTTGACCTCTGCTTGCCAGGCCTTGGGGCCTCCTCTCTTTGTGCCCGTGGCTCTTTCCGAGGGAAGGAAGGAAGGAAGGAAGGAAGGAAGGAAGGAAGGAAGGAAGGAAGGAAGGAAGGAAGGCGGGGGCCGAGGAGGAGCGCATGGCTGGAGGAAGGCGCAGCAGCAGTGCTGCCTGTGCATTGGCTTCGGCAGATTCGCGGCTGAGCCGTGGCAGCATGCGCCGCTTGCAGGAAAGGAGCGCAATCTGCAGCCCCCCCTCCCCCTCCCTCCCCTTGCAGAGAATGTGAGCAAGCCCCAAGCGGCCTTCTGTGTCCAAAGCACAAAGACCCCCCCCCCCCCACACATGCTTCAATGTAGGTGCCCCACTGACCGTTGCACAGAAGGAAAGGAAAGGGAAATGGAGAGGTCATGGAGGGCGCCCGGGGGTCTTTGGACCTGTTTGCAAGGCCTGGACATTGTGCACACGCACATACTTGTACATGCACACGCACACGGCTTGCACACGCTTGCACACGCAGCACAAAGTGGCCGTTGGGAGCCCTGGACGGCTGCCAATCTCCCCCCCCAACTCTCCCCCCGAACTTGGCAGGGTGACAAAGTCAGCCGGGGACGTTGTGAGGCCGCCCGCCCGCCTTCCTCCTTCTTCTCCCTTTCTGCCTTTTCCTGGCGGCCGTGCCGCCCCAAAGTATTTTTTTCCTGGGGAGGGGCTGCTCCGATCGGCCCCAAACTCGGCACACGCCCTGGGGGCCCCTGGGGCTCCTTGCTGAATTTTTCCCAGATTTTTGTGGCCCCCCCAAAGGGGTCTATTCAAGTGTAGAAAGTAGTGCCGGGGGAAACGGGACCAGGCTTTTCTCAGCCCAAGTCTGCCTCCGGTCTCTCCCTCCCTCCCTCCCTCCCTCCCTCCCCGCCTGGCCGCCCTCTCCCTCCGCTCCGAAAGAGGGGCTGCCGGCCCTCGAGGGGGGCCCAGGGGGGCCACTGGGGCGGGATGGGGTCTCCAGGGGGGCCACCCCTCACTGTTCCCCAGCAAGAGGGGAAGGGGCCATTCCTGGGGGGCCAAGGGGGAGGCAGGGCCAACTGGGGGCCACTCTGGGGTTCTGGGGAGCGCCGGGGGTCCCCCTTTTGCTCCATCGGCCCCCACCTCCAACCTGGCCCTGGGAGGGGCTTCTTTGGGGCCACAAGTGTCTGACAGCAGGGAAATACACCCAGTGGGTGGACAAAGCTGTTTTTGAGGCCTTCTGGAAAATTCGGGGTGCCCACAGGCATTCAGATGGGGTCAACCAAGCAGGTAAGATGGGGGGCCACGTGGCGGGGTGGGGGCCAAGGGCGCCCAGGGGGTCTTGAAGGATTGTGGAGGGCGTTGTGCCCTATTGTGTCCTTTGGAAGGCCCTTCTAGGCCAGGGGTCCCTGAAAAGAGGCAAATGGGGGGCCACGCCTTGTCCAGCGGGTCCCCCCAAATTGTCCTGAACCCCAGAAGCCCTGCTTTTGGAGGAGAAGGGAGTGGCGCAAGTGGGGGGGCGCATAGGGAAACATGGCAGGATCACACCCAGTGTGAAATTCATAGGCCTGAAGAAAGAGGAAGGCAATGCTGGGGAAGGGGCAAAGGGGAGCCCCCGAGGAAGACCCCCAACCCATTGAGGGGCCCCCAGAGCGACTGCTGGCCCCCTCCCTCCGAGGAAGGCCCCCTTTCCTTCCGAAAGGAGATGCGTCATGCTCAGAGCACACCATGTCCTCCTCCTCCTCCTTCAAGGGAGCCTCGATCAGGGCTTCCTGCTTGCAAAGGGGAGCGGGGCTGGATCGGGGCCAAAGGAGGGGGCTGCCCCCCAAAAGAGGGGCCCGAAGGGGAGCTGGCGCCCGCCCAAAGGGAGGGAGCCCCAAAAGCAAGGCTGGTCCAGAAGGAGGCCCAGGCCGCCGCCCAAACAAGTGCCACGTCTGCCTCCCCTCCCCTCTGAAAATGGACTGTCCCCATTCGGACACAGCAAGGGGACCCCCAAAAACATTTCGGGGGGCCCCAGAAAAAGAAGGGGGAAACAACCCAAAAGGGATCGGGCCCACAGGCAATACTTTGGAAGGACTGGCTTTATATTTCTCTGGGCGCCCTTCCCAGGCCTTTCCTGAGCACATGAGGGCCCCCAGGGACCCCCCCCCCAAAAGCCCCCAGACCCTTCTGTCGCAGGACTTCCCTCCCTGCAAAAGGCAGGCCTCGGCCACTTTGGCTCCTCTTTGGCCCAAAATGGCGATTTTGGGGGGAGAAGAAAAGGGGGGGTGAGGACCCCCCCAATTGGAACCACAGGGCCAGGAAAAAGGGGTCCCAGGTCACTCTCAACAGGAAGTGCACCCACCCCGCCCGTCCCATTTCTGGCCCTTTACAGAATGTAGCCATGGGGGGGGGGTGTCAGGGTGTAAATGGGGGGGGCATGCATGTTGCTGTGAAACCGCCCCAATTAGCCAGCCCCTCCCCCAAGGGAGAAAATGGGGGGGGGGGGGTCCTTGCATTGACTGCCCAGGCCAGATCCCAGGGTGTGTCTCACTATTATTATTATATTTATTGATACCCTGCCTTATGTCAGCCCCCCCCCCCCTCAAAAATGTCCTTGCCTTGACTCTCCCTGCCCTGCTGCCCCTCCCTTCCTGTATCATTGGGTGTGTGTGTGTGCGGGGGCGGGGGGGGGGCTTGTTTCCTATAGAGTTCAATGTTGGGGGGGGGCTCACTTGTTGTTGGGGGGGGCTCAAGACCCTTGTCCTGTATTCGTATGCCACTTTGAACACTGTGTGAGTGTGTGTGGGGGGGGGGGTGCCCCCCCCCCCCAGCCCTCTTTCTCCATTCGGGGTCACCGATGTATCTCTCAATGGACAAGAGGAAGAGATGGAGGAGCATTCCTTGGCCGGACCCTCTCTGGCCACTCGTCCCCCCCCCCCCACTCCAGTCTTTTGGTTGCAAGGAAAGCCCCTCCCCTTTTCCCTGCCATCAACCCCCCCCAATCTGAGTTGACCTTTGACACACAGAGACCTGCATCCCCCTCCCCAACTCGCCAGGATAGAATCATCAGCTCTTCGGAAGGGGGGGGGCTTCGGAGTGCAGTTTGGAGAAAAAGGGGAGGGGGCAGTTGAAGGTCAGTTCGGGGTCAAGACCCCCCCCCCCCCATGGGCCTGGATGGAGCTGCGTTGTGTCGTCGACCGGGGTTCGCGCCAGCAGCACAACAATGGTTTGTCGGGGTCAGGAGTCCGCAAGCCGTTTTGTGGTGCCCACGCGAGCGGCCGGAGTACTCGTCCGCCTGGGAGTGACCAGTGGCCCCCACCTTGAAGACCCGGCCCCACCCAAGCACACAGCGCCCCCCTCTCTTGGTCCATCCATCCGTCCACCCATCTGCGTGGGGGGGGGGGGGGGGTTGCCCAGGCAGGACTGCCCGCTCCCCGAGAAGGCCGGCCCCGCTCCAGCAGCACTTCAATATTGGCAGCGTCCACCCCTCCGGCCGCCAGTATTGCCGGTGCTGCTCCAGGGGGGCTTGGCAGGCGCGGCCAATTGGCGGGGGGGGGGGGCATCTGGGGAAGGAGCAGCGTGCCAATGTGAGTGTGTGTGGAGATGGGCCAGCCTCAGTGGGTGGGTGGGTGGGAGAGCGCATGAGCATGTACAGAGCGCAGAAGACCCTCAGAGGAGGAGGAGGAGAATGTTTATTGCGGCCCAAAGGCCATTAAAATACAAAAACAATTAAAATACAAGCAAGGGGGGGGGGCAGCGTCAAGGGGGAAGGGAGGCATGGCGCCCCTCCCACTACAAAGGGGGACCCCAGGCCCAAATCCCAGCCATGGGGAGGGGAGAAAGACCCCTCCCCACTTGACATGTATATGGCGCCCCTCCCACTACAAAGGGGGACCCCAGGCCCAAATCCCAGCCATGGGGAGGGGAGAAAGACCCCTCCCCACTTGACCTGTATACCCCTCCCAGAAGAGTGTGGGGGAGGGGGTCTTCCTTCAGCGGGGGAGGGGGTCCGCCTTTGCCCTGCCGCCCCCTCCTCCACTGGGGGCCAAGAGGAAGGCGGAGTCCAGGGTCAGGCTGTCTGGAAGAAAGAGAGAGAGGGGGGTCGTGGGGCGTCCCAAGGGTCCAGAGAGGGTCACGCCCCCTCCCCTCCCATGTGTCCCCCCTCCCGCCCCCCCGCACTGACCCTGGTCGAAGGTGAGCTTCTTGGCCGGAGGGGGGTCTCCCAGGCCCTCGATGTCCACCAGGTCGCTGTGGGCGTCCGAGTCATTCAGGGCGCTCAGGGTCACGTCTGGGGGGAGAAAAAGGGGGTCATGTCTAGGGCGAAAAGGGGGGGGGGAGTCCTACTTGTATATTATATTATTGTACTAGGCCTGGGCCAACTTCGGCCCTCCCTACGTCCCTCCGAGTGTTTTGGACTCCAACTCCCAGCATTCCCAACAGCCTCAGGCCCCTTCCTTTTCCCCCTCAGTGTCCTGAGGAAAGGGCCTGAGGCTGTTGGGAATGCTGGGAGTTGGAGTCCAAAACACAAAGAGGGAGGGCCCAAGCTGGCCCAAGCCTGCATTGTGTTCCCTCTCTTCTCACCACAGGCCTTGTGCTTCTTGGCGGGGGGCTCGGGGGTCGGCCCAGAGGAGGAAGTGGAGGGGGGCCCCTGGTGCTGCTGCTGCGGCTGTGGAGGGCCCTGCCCGGCCCCCAACTGCTTGCGGGGCCCCTTCTTGGGCGACTCCGCTGGGAGGCCGCTCTCCTCGTAGGCCTTGCGCTTGGCCGCCCCCTTCAGCTGCGCCCTGCAAACGGGATTGATTGACAGCAGGGAGGGAGGGAGGGGAAGAAAAGGGGGAGAAATTGGGGAGGGGTCAGCTCATGGGGGCGGGGTGAGGGTCAACATCCCCGCAAGCCTGGAAGGGTTAGGGGAACCAGGAAAAAGGGGACCCCTCACTGCAGCCAAGCTGGACCCGGAAGCCCCGCCCACCGAGGCAGATGAAGCCCCGCCCCTTGGGAGCAACTCAACCACGGAAGCCCCGCCCCCAAGATAGACCCCGCCCACTGAAGCCCCGCCCCACAGAGGCCAAGCTGGACCTGGCAGTCCCGCCCACTGGGAAGAGCTCTACCAAGGAAGCCCCGCCCCTCTTTGAGAAAGGCCCGCCCCCAAGAGAAGCCCCGCCTAAGAGGAAGAACTCAACAACGCAAGCCACGCCCCCAGAAGCAAGGAGGCCCCGCCCAGAAGAGAAGCCACTCCCCGCAGAGGCCTCGGAAGCCCCGCCCACCGAGGGAAGAACTCAACCAAGGAAGCCCCGCCCCCAAGATTGACTCTGCCCACGGAAGCCACGCTCCCAGAGGGACTCAGGAGAAGCCCCGCCCACCAAGGGAAGAACTCAGGAGAAGCCCCGCCCCATAGAAGAGCTCAGCCAGGGAAGCCCCGCCCCCAGGATTGACTCTGCCCACGGAAGCCACGCCCCCACAGAGGTACTCAGGAGAAGCCCCGCCCCAGAGAAGAGCTGAGCCAAGGAGGTTCCGCCCTCCAGGGAAGAACTCAACTAAGGAAGCCCCGCCCCCAAGATAGACCCCGCCCCCGGAAGCCACGCCCCACAGAGGCCAAGCTGGACCTGGCAGTCCCGCCCACTGGGAAGAGCTCTACCAAGGAAGCCCCGCCCCAATTTGAGAAAGGCCCGCCCCCAAGAGAAGCTCCGCCCCTCCGAGGCAGATGAAGCCCCGCCTAAGAGGAAGAACTCAACCACGGAAGCCACGCCCACAGAGGCAAGGAGGCCCCGCCCAGAAGAGAAGCCGCTCCCGCAGAGGCCTCGGAAGCCCCGCCCACCGAGAGAAGAACTCAACCAAGGAAGCCCCGCCCCCAAGATTGACTCTGCCCACGGAAGCCCCGCCCCCAGAGGCATTCGGGAGACGCCCCGCCTCATAGAAGAGCTGAACCAAGGAGGCCCCGCCCTCCAGGGGAAGCCCCGCCCACCGAGGGAAGAACTCAACCCAGGAAGCCCCGCCCCCGAGATAGACCCCGCCCACTGAAGCCACGCTGGACCTGGCAGCCCCGCCCACAGGGAAGAGTTCTATCAAGGAAGCCCCGCCCCACTTTGAAAAAGGCCCGCCCCCAAGAGAAGCTCCGCCCCTCCGAGGCAGAACTCAAGCACGCAGGCCCCGCCCCCAAGATTGATCCTGCCCACGGAAGCCCCGCCCCCAGAGGCACTCAGCAGAAGAGCTGATCCAGGGAAGCCCCGCCCCCCGAGGGGGTGTGCCCTCCTCCCCGAGGCCCCGCCCTCCCTTACACGGTGCGTTCCTTGATGAGGGCGCTGATGCGGTGGAGGTCGTCGCCGAAGCGCTGGACGGAGGCCCGCAGGAGGGAGACCTCCGCCTCCGTCCACTTGGCCCTATGGGGAGGACGGGGGAGGGGCAGAGGGGGTAAGAGGGGGCGTGGCCAGGGGAAGCCCCGCCCCCTCCCTGCCCGCCAGGCCCCGCCCCTCGCATGCTCACCCGGCGGGGGAGGAGTCTGCGACCGGGTGGAGCTGCATGGCCAGCTCGCCCAGCTTGGAGAAGGCGGCCCCCGCCGCGGAGAAGATCTCCCCCACCTGAGAGGGAGAGAGAAGGAGAGACACAATGAATGAGAGACTACCTCTCCCAGAAGCCCCTGCGCCCACCCCCAGCAAGCCCCCCTCCAGCGGTACCTTGGTGGAGGCCGAGGTCATGGCGGCCCTTCGCCCGCGGGTGCCTCCACCGCTCTATGGCCGCGCTCCCGCTCCCGCCGCCATGGCAACAAGGCCCTCCTCCTCCCTATCTTCCTTCCTTCCTTCCGGCGCGCGCCCGCCAACTTCCGCCTCGCTCGCTCGATGGCGCCCAGCTCGGCCCGCGGAGGGAGGGAGGGAGGGAGGGAGTCACGTGAGAGGCCGCCCGGCCAATGGGAGCAGGGCACAGCCGCCCCGCCGAGAAGGAGCCCTTCCTGCCTTGACGCCGCAGCGCCTCCAGAGGGCGCGCTCCCTTCCTTCCTTCCTTCCTTCCTTCTCCCTGCTCTGGCCCCTCCTTCCCGACAGGCGCCTTGGACTACAACTCCCACAATCCCCCGCAGCCGGGCATCATCATCATCATCATAATAGAGCAATTATATTATTATTATTATTATAAGTTTGCAGGCAGGAACAAGCTTCGGCCCGCCCAGGTGTTTATATACACAATTAAATATAAATACTACTGGACTCATAACCTAATTTATAATTATTTCCAATATAATGAAATTGTTAACAATGCCAATCATATTATTGTGATTTATTTATTTATCGTGTCATCAGCAACCATTGTATTACAATTCTAACAGAGCAAAACAAACACACAGATTAAAAAGAAAAAAAAAGGAAAAAAAACCACACAGATTTTGCAAATTTGGTATTTGGTTAAATGAGCAGTCTCTGTCCCCTTGGAGTGCCGCCTCTGGTGTGGCCGCAAGGAGGTCCTCCCTTGTGCATCATGTGGAAGAAGGGCTCAGGGGGCATTGCAGCAGGTGGTCAGTGGTTGGCTCTTCTCCGCACTCACATGCCGAGGATTCCACCCTGTAGCCCCATTTCTTAAGATTGGCTCTGCATCTCGTGGTGCCCGAGCGCAGTCTGTTCAGCGCCTTCCAAGTCGCCCAGTCTTCTGAGTGCCCAGGGGAGAGTCTCTCACCTGGTATCACCCATGAATTGAGGTGCTGGGTTTGGGCCTGCCACTTTTGGACTCTTGCTTGCTGGGGTGTTCCAGCGAGTGTCTCTGTAGATCTAAGAAAACTATGTCTTGATTTAAGTCGTTGACGTGCTGGCTGATACCCAAACGGGATGAGCTGCAGGTGTCTCTGCCTTGGTCCTTTCACTATTGGCTGCCACATCCCGGCGGATGTCAGGTGGTGCAATACCGGCTAAGCAGTGTAATTTCTCCAGTGGTGGAGGGCGCAGACACCCTGTGATAATGCGGCATGATAAAGCAACCAGAGATTATTGTGATTAATTATATTTGATTGTATATGAAGTAATAATAATAATAATGCAACCATAGTATCTTAGAGTTGGAAGGGACCCCCAAAGACCACCCAGTCCAAGCCCATGTCATGCAGGCAAAGCACAATCAAAGCATCCCTGAAAGATGGCCATCCAGACTGTTTAAAAGCCTCCAAGGAAAGAGCTTCCACAGCTCTCCTTATGGTCGGGGAGTTCTTCCTCGTGTTCACTGGAATCTCCTTTCCTGCCATTTCGGCCCATGGCTCCGCTGAGTCCTACTTTCAAGGGCAGCAGAAAACAATCCGGCTCCCTCTTCCTTCGGGCAGCCCTTCACATATTCATACATGGCCACCATGTCTCCTCTCCGCCTTCACTGCTGTGGCCAAACAGGCCCCGCTCTTTAAGACGCTCCTCAGAGGGATGAGTCGTGGTCTCCAGACCTTTGGGCCCCCCTCTTCCTCTGGACGCCTTCCATCTTAGAGTCAATATCCCTCTGGACGCAGGGGAAGAGGGAGGCCTGACCAAAGCGGAATAGAGAGGCACCGGGACTTCTTCCCTCAGTCTGGACACTCAACTCCTTGGGACGCAGCCCAGAATCCCACTGGCTTTTTGAGCGGCTGCATGACACTCCTGGCTCATGCTCAGCTGGTTCTCCACGAAGGCTCCCAGATCTTTCTCGCATGTGCCTCTGTGGTGGAGCCAGGCATCATACACATATGCATGCAAACATATTCTTCAGAAGTTTGGTTCCAGCTGATGAGCGTAGAAACCAGTGTCCTCACGGTGGAAGAACATGCGGGTCAAGAACAGGACTCCATAGAGTGTGTGCGCATGTTTGCATATACAGTAGAGTCTCGATTATCTGACATAAACGGGCCAGCAGAACGTTGGATGAACAAAAACGTCAGATGATATGGAGTCTCCTCCCGGACTGTGACCCGTGCAACATGGCACTAGACACCGAGAATACTACCGAGAGGGCCCAGCAGTGGGATCAGAGCGTCGGATAAGATGGAAGGTCGGAGAAGCAAAGGTTGGATAAGCAAGACTCTATTATATATGTAAAGGTGTATTTATACCTTTGTATGTACATATATGTGCATGTGTATATATGTATATGTCTGATCTTTCCTCCTTTTTGGAGGTGATGATGGTGGCTTCCTTGAAATCTGCTGGGATTTTCTCGGTCAACCACACTTTTTCTCTTGAGCTGGTGGAGTTGTTGTGTCAGCTCAGGTCGTCCCTCTTTAAAGATTTCAGCAGGAATCCCAAAAGGGTCCGCTGGAGGTCAGCTGTGACCAGCAGTGCTGCAGAATTTGAAGAGGCACGAATGGAGGGTGAAAGAGAGAAACGTGCCAAGAGGAAGGTGCGTCAACCGAGACCGCCTTCCACCTGGAAACCAATGCCCTCACTGCAGGAAAATATGTGGGTCAAGAAGAGGGCTCCACAGTAAACTACAGATCCTGGAAGACTATCCTACTCGGCCAATGAGGGATCGCCTAAGTAAGTATGTAAGTGACCTAAGTAAGTAAATATGTATATGTCAAGCAGTGACAAACTTTGGCCCTTCAGGTGTTTTGGATTTCGACTCCCACAATTCCCAACAGCCTTCCATGCCTGGCCTGTGTCCTGCCTTGTCCCATCAGAGGCCAAAAGCCCCGCCTCCTGCGGCCCCTCCCGTTTTGTGCAACAGAAATACATTCCCTGGGAACATGACGGTTGCCTGTCAGGCCCAGATCTCGGGGTGGCAGGTGGGGGGGGGGGGAGGGAGGGGCTTGGTTGTCCAGGAAGCGGGGGTGTCACATAGATTTGGGGGCCGTTTCCTGGGCCTCCCCTCCTCCCAACTGGGGAAAGCAGAGGCAGACTGGGCCGCCTTGCAAGTGAGTCAAGGCCTTGAGGAGGGTGAGCGGTCAGCAAATGGAGAAGTCCTCCCCCCCCCCCCCCCCCCGCCTCCCTTTCCAGGAAGCAGAAGGGAAAGCACACGCCAGGCCTGAAGGTCAAACCCCCTTTATTATTATTCTTATTGCACACGGAGGGAGCGGGGGGCGTCCATCGCCTTGGGGAGTGCCAAGCCCCCTCTTACTGGACAACTGACCAGACCAAGAGCCAGGACAACAATCCGGCCCGCTCCCCAAATATGGGGCACGCTGCCCTTCCTTCCCAGCCAGCCAGAACGGCAGAGTTTACACAGGAAACGTTGACAGTAAATATGGAGAAGGGACCCAAAACACACAGCGTGCCGCCGGGAGGGAGAGTCTGCGGCGCTTGGAGGGCGAAGGAGCGGCCGCGTGTGTCCGCCATTCTTGGCAACAGTATTTACACAACATCACAGTCCGGGTTCCGTCGGTTTCGGCCAGAAGAAGGAAACATGCCGCTCCCTGCGCCGTTTGGCCAAGGTGTCCTTCGGCCGGCAAAACTGACCAGAGGAAGGGGGAGGGGAGGGGTGGGTGGGGGTCTCAGAAAGGCGGCAGAAGGGCAAGGAATGTTTCAGGGGGTCCCGAATCTGCACCCAGCCGTCACTCAAACATTCGTTCAGTACAAACAGAAATAAATTACGTGTCCCCGGCCAGATCCTAGTTGTAGAGTCTGGGGGTGTCGTGGTCAGGGAGAAACACTAAGGAGAGCCCCTCCCCCAAAATAAATGAATACATGGCCCAGGGGGGGAGGGACACAATAGAGGGGGGGGGGGACGGCGCACAGCTAGCGGACCATGTACTCCTTGCGCTTGTTGAGCCGGACCTGGCAGAAGGAGAAGCCCCCCAGGATGACGTAGAGGCCGGCCGCGATGAAGCAGTTGTAGCTGACCTGCTCGTACAAGGCGTAGATCTTGTTCGGACCGTCCCTGCCGAAAAAGGGGGGGGGAGGGGGGAGAGAGGAGGGTCAGGACCCCATGCCACGCACCGGCCCCTCCTAACACAGTGAATATGCTATATTATATTAACAATAACATATTAATAATATATTTATATATTAATATAATGTTATATATTAATTCTATTATATTTATAATATTTATTTATTTACTTCCTTTATTTGTATGCCGCTCTTCTCATCCCTAAGGCGACTCAGAGCGGTTAACAACAGCAATTCAGTATACACAATAGGAAACCATTGGACATTTAAAAACAGTAGCATAGCAATTAATTAGGCACCAATACATCAATATAACAAATCCATCACATCTCATCAATAAAATCAGAATCCAATTTCATTATCCATTATTCCGTGTTCCAATAGTCAATCACACTCAATTATACTGCTTGATTGAATGCCTGTTCGAACATCCAGGTCTTCACTCTCCTCCAGAATGCCAACAGGGAGGGGGCCGATCTGATGTCTGCAGGAAGGGCGTTCCACAGCCGAGGGGCCACCACTGAGAAGGCCCTGTCTCTCGTCCCCGCCAGGCGTGCTTGTGAAGCCGGCGGGACCGAGAGCAGGGCCTCCCCAGACGATCTTAATATCCTAACTAATACACTATGTAACACATTTTTTTCTTCCTGGGTGATCAATGTGATTTCCTAATTGGTTCTATCCTAAATACATGGGCCTGGGTGAGTGGGTGGGTGGACGCTCCAGTCTTTCAGTGCACGCCTCCCCACCGAGTCTCAACCCATTGTCGGCATAGTTTGCAGCACAATAAGCCGTGTTTCTGGAGTAGAGCTATGACTTTCAAAGTCAGGACTGCACAACGAAAAAGGAAGTGACACTGCCACTCCGGAAACAGAACCTTTTCCCTTTTTTGTTGCAGTCCAGGCCTCCTCCCCCCCCCCCCA